CACACACACACTTTATTTCCAAATAAACAATGCATGAGGAATTAAAGGAGTGGGAGGGGGGGGGGTTATATGTAGCTTACAACTGTACAATAGTTCCTGTTTTTTGTTTAGGGATGAGTGCCAAATGCTTCCTTGAAAGATCACATGATGAGCTCCAGTCATCCCGGCTGGACGTTGGAAGTCTGAGGGAGGATGAGTGGTGAAAAAGGAGGGGGAGGGATAGGGGGAACACATGGAGGAGGGGGTCTCATTCAGAACAGCTGAAGAAAGGAGAGGGAGGTGGCAGGAAGACGGAGGGAGGGGTGGTCCTAACATGACATGTGTGTCAGTCTGTTAAAATGTGTGTAGAGCCCTCTCTTCTGTTCATACTGGCTGAGAAGAGCTGGGAGAGAGAGACACAACTTCTGCACTCAGGCTGAGTTTACCAGAGAGGACGGAGCCAACAAGCAAATCTTATTTTACTGAGTGAGCACAGAAGTAAAGGAACACTTAATTACTTTATACGCTTTTTCAAAATATACTTCTATCCCCTTATTTTTTTATTAACTTTTTTGAAGAAAGACATTTTGGATTTTTATAAATGCTGGGAACAATAACTTTAACAGGTAAGATCAATTACTTGTTGATTACTTATTTGAGGGTTTTGTTTTGTACTGTTCTCAAAGATGTGGCTGTTTTACTGTGAGGTACTAATGTGATTTGTTAAAAAGCATTTTTGAGGATTTGTCTAAAACCCAAAGTAGGGGTTTCTTCTTAGATAGCTGAAGGCATTGTTGTTCTGAGGGTGTGGTTAGTTAGCATTGTGGTTCGTAGATGTCTCGGCTTTGTGGGTGATGGTTTTGCTTTGGTTTCTGCAGAGCCTCGTCAAGTTATATGATGTTTAAATGCTGTAAAATTCTTGTTTATAAGTAAAAAGTATATTTTAGCGTCCATCATTCTTTCATTTATCACCTGTAGATTTACAATGCAAACAAGGAAACATCCCCCCTTTTAATCCCCTTTACAGTAGCCCTCTAGTTAAATCCTGTTGATCGACTATTCAGGCCTTTGCCAACTGCTGAGTGCCCTGATCTCTGAAGTGTACTTCTCCTACCACTGCCAAACTTCTTGGTGGGAAAATAATTTCACACCGGGACAGCTGGCAGCAGAAATATATGAAGATGCATTTAGAAAACTTTTTCAAACCCTGCTTTAAGCTCACTTCTCTGTCGGAGCCAGCCCCCTGTGTTCCTTCATGTGAAGCATTTCATTAGATTAGAGTGGGATCCTAATTCCCAGTAGGTTTATTGAGCTTAGCCGCAGAGGTTATGGAGGGAGGAGAAAGGGGCGTATGAAATTAATTGCTTGCCAGAACCAATTCGTCTTTAGTTCATAACTGGGAGTTATGGCTCAAACAAAGCCGGTCTAAAATATGTTTTGCTCTGTGGTTACCTCAAGGCTTTTGCACGTAAATGCAATATGGAATATATAGATATTTAGTTTCTGTATTTTGCTGTTGGTTATTCACATCACACTGTCTTGATGTTAATGGAAAAGTGGTGCCACAGTGGGTGTTGTTAGTGCTGTGGATGTGTCGGGTCCCCCGGAGCTTTGGAGACACTTTGACCACACCTTTGATAGAGAGGGGACGCTCGTAGGGCGACTGTTGGGGGAGGGTGTGGTGGTGTCTCTGTGCCCTCATTTTAACTGACTTCTTTTGTTTACTGGCCCCGTGCTCCAGACAGTGCAAGGATTTGCATATATTTGGCAAAGTTTGCAAATAATGGCTTAAAGAATAGCGGCATTCAGTTTCCCAACTGCCCCCCCCCCCCCCCCTTTTCAAACACACAAACACATACTAGGGCTGGAACAACCACAACAGAAACGTTATCTGATCTCCCTGGACACTGGTGTAGATTTACTACAATAATAATCTGTTTTGGCTGCGGGATTGACATTTAATATGAGAGCATCATTTTACCTCATGCTCTCACTCTCACATATAAACAAAGCTTGTCTCCAGCAGAGAGAAGCATTTGCACTATGAATATGTGTGTCTCAGATATGTAACACCCTCTAAAGTGTGTGGGCTCCGGCCCCAGGGCAGACCCCCTTCCCCCTCAAGGCCGTCCCTTCGTCAAAGTCTCACATTCTTTCTGGTACAGTCTGTATTCAAAACAGCCACCCCCCCGACACACATTAACCAAATCAATCTAAGGACGGTAACAGTTGTGTGCCTGTAAAAGACAAAAAGTTGAGCTGGAAAACAAAGATCAAAAAGAAGGGAGAGATGCCAGTAGTCTGTTAAATCAACATGGGTCCTGTTTTATTGTCCTTCCTACACACATACCGCCTATAGTTGCACCTTACTGCACAAAAACCTGGTGAATATATGCCTTTGAGATTAATTAATGTTTACTCAGGTTTGAACACCTCTATGTTTTTATATGGTTTGTGGATTTGGTTTTACTGGCTTGTTTAACAGCCATGTGATTTAAATGATCTCCAAGTGTGTTTTAAACAACATGTATGTGAGAGCTGCCATGTGACACAGTTGTATTTATAGAAGTCACTCAGGCCTTTCTTTATTCGTCTTTACACCATATTGAGAAAGTCAGCAAAGTTCCCCCAAGCTGCAGTGTGTCTTTATAATAGAAAAGTTGACCACCCCCCTTCCTTTATTTTCAGAGGCCAGAGAGGGTTAGAAGGCTATTGTGTTTGCATTGTGTGTGCCTTGGATGGGGGTGGGTCCCCATCCATCCTGTGGTGGAATTTGGGTCAAGGAGATTGGTCGTTTTTAAGGAGGGTTTGTGATGGAGGACTGTATTGTCTGGGTTTGAATCCTACATGGGCACAGTCCAGACATTTCAACCCAAAACGATTAAACATTGTGAACGTACCCTGTCATTTAAATTCAGATTATGTTTAGAGCATCCTAGTTTATTTTTGACAAAATCAGCATAGCTCACATTCCTCTGTTGTCAAATGCAAAGATACTTATACCATTAGTTTATAAAAGCACTTTATTTGATCATACATGCTAATTGTAAAGTGATGCAGTGTTTTGTGAGCTTTTTACATAGTTTTGTCAAATAGTAGTTATAGTCTATTTTGAAGCTAAAATATTCAAGGAATGCAGTACTACTGAGGCAAACTTCATGCCTATAATTTAGGAAAGTATGTGGACAGATATGGGCACATATTTGTACATGTTTGTGGGAGACAAGAAATTAGATTCATCTTTCACAGAATTATTTACAAACTTGATCCAATGTTGATATCAAAATGAAAATAGTGTATCAAACACCTTGTGTCTTTTTACAATTTCCTTCCAATTTTGTGAAAGGTATTTCCCACAATATGTGATTTTAGTGAGTACTCACTTTCCCAGTGTGTGTAATCAGGTAAGCTGATAGCTAGGCATTACAAGTCCTGGGAAGTTGTTTTTAGAGTCCAGAGGTAGAAGAAGGAAAGCTTCAAACACTGGCAGTTCCCCCCCCCCCCCGCCTCCCTCTGTCAAAACACAGGCAGTTATACACTGTGTGTATGTTTTGCATGTGTGTGTTTGTCTCTTATCAAATCTGACATGTGTCTTATTAGTTTAACAACCAAGGAACTACTCAGAATAATGAAACACGTAGTTAACCTAATGCACTGTTGCAAGATTGTGGGTCGGCGAACATAATAATCCACACATTTCACTTAGTTCAACATTTCTTTCTCTGGGGATTAATTACATTTTTTTAAGGTCTTTTTAAGGTGTTTTTACATACCACAGGTTTAGTTGGGCCAAATTGCAATCTAATTGCAAATAAATAGTCATATGCTTGATAAAATCTACTCAGGAGTCATGATCTCAGAGAATACTTTCTTAAAATGGTCTCTGATTAAATTCAGATGAGATATCCTCTTGTTTTGTGTTAATGCCATACAGAATTTAATTCACAACAGATTGATGTCCTAATCATCACTCAAATATGTTTAATTGCATGTTGCACAGAGGGAGCTGTAGAGATGTTAATCAAACTAAAGTCATGAAACTGATCTTAACTAAAGTTCCTTATTTCTTGTAATTTCAGTTGGCCAGCCGGATGGTGTGGTCCAGAAGGAGGAGGCTCCTGAGACCATGGACACCATTCAGGGAGAAGTGGCTCCTCAAGTGAACGGCGAGAAAGTGGAGAAAGAGTCTCCCGATGCCAATGACATCTCTGCTGTTGAGGAGAAAGCAGCGGAGGAGAAACCTGGTGATGCCAATGAAGTCGGCTTCAAGAAGATCTTCCGCTTTGTGGGCTTTAAGTTCACACTGAAGAAGGACAAGAGTGAGGACAAGGATCCTGTGAAGCTTCTCACAGTCAAAGATAAGGAAGAGGAGGTGAGTGGGACCGATGAACCTACAAAGGAGCAGGAAGAGGAGAAGAGCCCCACCGAAGAAAAGGAGGCTGATACAGATGTATCTACTGCCGAGGCGGAGGTCATTAAAGATGATAAAGCTGAATCTAGCGATGCCCCAGCTGAGGGCACTGCCGCTGAAGCTACTGATGAAGCAGTCAAGGAGGGAGCAGCTGAGAAGGAAGGCGAGATCACTCTGTCCCCCTTCAGGAAGCTCTTTAGTACAGGACTCTTCTCTAACCTGAGAAAGAAAGCCAGTGTCAAGAAGACGAAAGAGGAGGAAGACAAGGAGCCAGCTGTTGAGGAGGAGGCAACAAAGACAGAAGAAACGACTGATGTTGTGGAGGAAAAAGAAGAGAAAGATGAGGCGAAGCAAGAAACTAATGAGGAGGCACCAGCAGCTCCAGAGGAAGAGAAAACAGAGACGTCCCCAGAGGCCACAGATGAAACTAATGCTGCTGAAACTACTGATGACACCAAACAAGAAGAGGAAAAGGCTGAAGCAGAGGTGACTTCTGAGGCTGAGCTGCTGTCATCACAGGAGAAGGTGAAATCCCAGGGAAGCCCCCTGAAGAAGCTTTTCACCGGAGCTGGCTTGAAGAAGCTCTCAACTAAGAAACAGAGGGCCAAGAGGGAAGCTGAGAAGAAGCTCACTGAGTCTGGGGAGCAGGCAGGTGAGCAGCTTCAATCCTCCACTGAGTCAGGAGAGGCCCCAAAGACTGACAGTGGGCCCACATCCCCCGAAGAGTCTGTGGAGGTGACACCGATTGAATCCAGCCAAGAGACTGACGGCGAAGTTGCCTCCGATGGAGAGAAGAAAAAAGATGGTATCATCGCCTGGTCCTCATTCAAGAAACTAGTGACACCCAAGAAGCTTGTAAAAAGGTCTTCTGAAAGCGATGATGAAGCCACAGGTGAGAAACCAGCAAAGTCAGCCACCCTGTCCTCTTCTGAGAGTGCCCCGTTAGCAGATACAAGTGTTGAAGAGGAGGCTCAGGAGGATAAGCCGACTGAGGAAGAGCCAAAAACCGAAAACACTGAGAAGCTGGTCAGCAGCACGGAGGAGCCGAAAAGGAAAATGGACACCTCTGTCTCCTGGGAGGCCCTAATGTGTATGGGTGGACCCAAGAAGAGGACAAGGAAGACCTCTGATTCTGACGATGAGGAGACCAAGGTTGAAGAGGAACCTGCAGCAGAGGCAGCGGTAGAAGGGGAGGAGCAGGAGGTAGAAGCTGAGCCTGCCATTGTCACTTCCCAAAACTCCGAAAGTGATGGTGAAGTTGCTTCTTCCCCTGAACCTTCATGCCCCGCCACTGAGAGAGAGTCCACCTGGGACACACTGAAGCGCATGGTTATGCCAAAGAATAAGGCCAAAGTTGAGGAGAAGCCAGAGGAGGCTGCGGAACAAGTCCTGTCAGACAGTGAAGCGCCAAAAGACGAGTCATCTTTCTCGTTGAGGAAGCTCTTCCCTGGACGCAGGAAGAAGAAGGCTGAAAAACAGGCCTCCACTGAACAGGGTGAGGAGGACTCTGACACCCCAGCTGTGGTTCCCCTCTCAGATTATGAAGACCAAGTTGAAGCTGAACAGGAAGCACAAGAAGAGGAAGCTCCAGCAGAACCTACTGAGGTCCAGATTAAAGTAACCGCTGAAGATAGATCCGCTGAAGATAGATCCCCTTCATGGATCGCAGCCGCCGTCGAGGAAGGTGATGACAAACACGATCAGCTGAGTGACATACCAGAGGAGGCTGAGAACGCTGCCACGCCTAAATCTGTTGACACTGACATCGCAGAGGATGAAGACAAGGAGCCATCCCCTAAACCCCCCAGGAGTACTGGGCGCAGACTCTCCACGGCTGAGGTAATGCCTTTCGCTCCAGCTCCATCTGCGGAAACCACTCCTGTTCCTCGGGGTCCCAACGCAGAAAGTGCCGTAGTGGTTTCGGAGGGCATTAATGCTCAAGTTACCGAAATTCCACCCCAGGTAGATGTGACTGTTGAAGATGTACCAACTGAGGAAGCTTCTGAGAAAACTGAGTATGAACCACCAACTCAGAAGGTTGAGACCAGCACATGTACTATCCTGCGGCCACACGCTTGTGACGAGGCCATGGCTATCTGCACTGGCCTAGGAACCAAGGAGATCGCCAAAGTGGCTATGGAGAAACCAGCAATGCCCATTGCAGAGTGTGTGGCCGTGATCCATGATAGTGTAAGCACAGAGATGACAGTGATGCAGAAGCCACCAAGTGCAGAAGAAGCCATTCATTCAGAAGATGCCGTGCTCATTGCCCAAGTGCACCAAGTAGAGGCTACCGAGCTCGAGCCTGCGGTTGAAAGTGATTCGTCAGACCTTCAGGCGGCCAGTGTGAGCCTGGAACCAGGGCTGGATCAGGTTGGAATTGTCAGTGTTCAGGAGTCTGAAATCATCACGCCTGCTTCATTGACCGAGAACTCTCCTAAAGCTTTTGTGGTGGATCCCATTACACCAACATTTGAAACAGCTGTTTGCACCCAGAGCGTAGCAGTCACTGAGCCAACTGTGGAGACCAAGGAAATCAAATTGAATGTGGAGCAGCTTGCTGCCACTGAAGAAAACATTGGAAAAGAGGTAATTCAGAGTGTGACTAAAGAGGTTGCTGCTACCATTTGTGAAAGAGCAGAGACCAGCATCACAGAGGAGACCGAGCCAGCCACCCATCTCATCGTACCAAGTGAGGAGGTTGTTATTGCCGAAACACTGGTGCTTGTGGCCCCAGCCAATGAAGACGCATCAGAAATTGAAAATGCACCTGAGACAGTCGTGGAAAAGGTGGAGGAAATCATCGAGCAGACCAGCGAAATTGAAGCTCAGAGTATGGTCATTGCCCATAATGTCATTCAGGATGCCGTGGATAAAGTTTCAGAAGACAAGCCTGAATCCGAAGATTCCGACACCCCAGCACCAGCCAAGGCCATCGCAACAACAGAGGAAGAGATTGAGATATCAACCGAGGGCCCTGTTATTACAGAAACCCCTGTTGCTGTTGAGTGCAAAGCCCCAAAGTCACCCAAGCTGCTTCATGTTGCCATGGAGGTCATTGACACAACCATCGTAGAAGTTACAGGGAGCCTTGATGCCTCTGTAGAAGAGAACAAACCAGAAGAAGAGTTGAAGAAAGATGTGGAGGTAAAAGTAGGTGAAGAAACGATCGTATTGGAAGAAGTGGTTGAGATAAAGTCAGAGAGTCAGACGGAGGTGGAGCTTGAAGAGGTCAAAGAAGAACAGAGCAAAGAAGAAGCAGAGGTTAAGGAAGCAGAGGTCGAAGAGAAAGCTGAGGAAGTGGAACCACGACCAGAGGAAGAAAAGTCAGATTCCCCTTCAGAAGAGAACAAAGAGAACGTGCTTGAGATTCACATGCCAGTCCAAGTCGTTCTGCAGACGGCTCAGGTGTTCGAGGAACCATCGGTGGAAGAAGAGGCCGCGGTGGAGTTTGACAGCAACGGCCCTGTGGCTGAAGACACCAACGTAAAACCAAAGAAAGCTACAAAAGAAAACCAACTCTCAACGCTGTCAGAAGAACCCCAGGTGCCAGCTGCAGCAGAGGTTTCCACTCCCAGCCAGGACACAGAGGCAGAGGCACCGGGAGCACCGTCGGGGAAGTGTGCGGAGGTGATGGCGCAGGTGATGGAGGTGATCGAGGAGGCTGTGAAGGAGATCGAGCCTGTGTCCACAGAGATCACAGCAGCATCATGAGCAGGTGAGACCGATCTTACAACAGTGATATTACATTCGAATGACAACTGTTATTTATTTAGGGTTCCTATTGAAATCCTATAATTGCGATGAGGAACTTAAATAAGTGGTGAATTGTAATTACTGTCTATACATTATTATTTTACAGATGTAAGCGGCTTGAAAATGCTCTTTTAAGTGCTTGAAAAAAATATTGAACTTGAGTAAAACAAATAATAGTAATGAATAAATTGGAGCTAAGAACAAATTAAAGTAAATGAAAATGGGCAATGAGTTAACAAACAGTAAAGAAAGAAAAAAAGGTAGTTATTTTTTCTAATTCCTTTGTTGGCCTATCAAGCAATCTTCTCATAGTGGCTTTTTTTTAAACATCAATGGGCCCTACTTTTATTAGGGAGTAGGGGAGGGGGTTTGCCCACTGACCAGATGAAAAAGCTTTTGTTCGGGGTATGAGTAACCAGGGGACCTTTGATATCAAAGCAGGAATGCCGCCGTTGACCCCTTCTTTGTAGGCTGGGGTCTTAAAAGGAAGCGGTGTGTGAGGGGCAGATGAACTTGTGCTGAAAGACTGATTATGATTCCTCCGCTCCCTCCTCCTGGTTTCCTCATATAACAGGCTCAGTATGGAGTCAAGAAACCATGTCGGAGCATGCATTTGTTAGTTTCAATTACAAAGCCTCAAAGGGCTCAAGCTGTTGTTGTTTCAGTTGTTTTGCTTAAATTATCTGGATGTGTAATAACGTTTTAGTGTCACTAATGTAATCTGATCTCACCAATGTGGAGGAGGGCTAAACCGGGCGTCCTTCACTCTAATATTTATTAGGCAGTCAGCAGCTTTGCAGCAGAGGAAAGGCTGGATAAAACGGGGAGAAAAAAGAGCTTGATGTGTTACAGCAGTGTGATCACAACACTTAATGTTTACCGATTCATATAAATAAACCGTGAAGCAAAAAAAAAGGGAAAAGCTAAAAAGAGGGCTAAATCATTTTGCAGGGAACTCAAAAATATTATGCAGTAATGATATATATGTACAGTTTATAAATTACTTTTCATGGCATATATTATTTATCGACGCAGCCGAATATAGCAGTCCATCCCATGAAAAATGAACACATAGGTGGTGAACATATTAGGTTACAAAAAAGGCTTGAACATCCTGAATCACTATATGATGTTTCCATCCATACCTCTCACCACCTCTGTGCTCTAATATATGGATTATATAACCATTAAATTAAGCTTTTAAAGGATATTCTGGTCCTGCAACCTAGCATACCAACGGATAAAGATATTTATTAATGTGATGTCAATCTCAGATGGTTTATTCTCAAAAGCGAAAGATCAAGTATTTGCTTATTCCTAATATCATGTTTTTGTTCCTCCATTACAGCTGGAGATACATTATTGATGCCTGGGAGACACACTGTCTGGACCAGGAAGTGAGTGATGAGGGAGCGAGAGAGAAAGAGAGAGAGAATGAAAGAGGCTGGGACCGGGCTCCTCCCATCCCGCCCAGAGAGACTGAGTGACTGAGCAACAGCTCCGCCATTCTCTCCACCTCCCAACCAACTGTACTCCAACCCCATCCTGCAGCCCAGTCACCGCTAAACGTGACGTCCCACCGCCATATCCTCACCCTTCACCCGCTCTCATACACACGCACACTAAAGCATGTCCTGGCTTGTCATCAATGTGATGTGTGTTCAGTGACTTTCCATTGCCCTTGCTGCATAAGACAAGAGTCTGCAACCTGGTCGAGTGTGTATCTGTTCATATGTGTGTTTGTATGTGTATAGTACGGAGAGTAGGCTGGTGTCAGAAGGTGATGAGATGGAGGATTATTAACTTGTATATTGTATTTATATCTTGAATATTCTTTCATTCACCCCTATTTTTTTTGTCTGAATATTGTTACCTTGTTGTTTTTAAAATACCCAAATGATACTGTGATACATCAGGTATTTGTTTGAGCAACATTATGATGAAGGGGTAGTGAATAGAAACATCTATAAAGTATAATTTCCCCAAATAAATGTGACTGCCTATAAGTAGCTGATGCATCACAGGTTTTAATGGTCATATTTTTTCAATAATGATTTCAGTAGCAGAATAGCTAAACCATGGTACAAGTGTGATTCCACTGACAGTAAGTGATAACAGAGAGTTTTCAAACATTCTCTTGTCGCAATGTGTTCTCACTCTGCACCCAACAAAATACTTAATAAGCTTCATGTAGATAAGACCAACAATCACTGCCTGATTTACTGTGAAAAATACATTGTTACACATTGTTTTATGTAATAATACAATAAAATACTATTATAACACCCTCATGTGATCATGTGGCAGAGATATATGTGGTTAACAGTGACATGCAGAGAGATTAAAAATACTTTTTTTTTACACTGTCACACTGCATTGACGTGTTAGAAACACAAATATATCACAATATTTTAAGGCCATGTTTCTGTGGTTATGTGTGACATACTGTATGTAATATTTGTAAAGTTTAACACCTTCCTTACTACACTATATTTATACTTCTTTATGAAAAGACAGTATGTTGATGCCCTCTGTTGCCTACAGAAAGTAGCGCACCCTTTAGTCCTCTGTCATTTGTTTCACTTTGGCTTAAACAATGTTTTAACAGAATGATAAAAGTCTTAAAAAAAACATGTTCTTTAATCAGCATGATGGCTCAGGCATAGGTTGGGGATTTAGAGGCACGGACACTGACTGCATGGTACCAGAAGTGAAAATAAAATCTCCTTTAAAAGCCAAATTGAGTTAGGCTCAATCAGGGAGTCATGGACTTTCCATTGCTCACAGGATAAGACATCAGTTGCATCCAATTAAAATCCTAAAGCATCTAAGGAGCTGCTATTGCTAGTTACTCATCAAACCTAAGTCACATGGTCATGCTTTCTTGTGCTTTGGCAAAGTGAGACGATTAGGGTAAAGGATGATGAGGAAACTCCTTGGTTCCAGTTTGACCACCAAAGCAAGGGTTGCACTGGTATTTGTTTATGTGTTACCAAATTGGCAAACTTGCACTGTGTCAATCCTTCAAACATCATGAGAATGAACATTCTTCTATAATCCACTGATACAAATTTGACACGAGCAGCTCTAGACGCTCACGTTTCACTCAGCTTTATGACCAAACAAGAGAAAGATCAGGAAGTATGAGCCCTTGTTAGGTCACCACTTCCCTTTATTTTGACTCTAGAGGGTGTGCCACGTCCATACTTGCTTTATGTAAAATAAATGATAAGAGAAATCACAATGTGAGCTTACGCCTTTTGCTATTGTTGCATAATGTAAAGCATTTAGTTGGGCCACGTGCCCACTCTAGTCCTCCCCTGCTTTTTGTAACACTTAACTGTGAACCTGTTAACATTTGTACAGATTGTATTGTATACTTATTGTATGTACTTAAAAATCATATTGTTGTTATATTAACCTGCAGGCATTTAGCTTAATATTCATGTAGCATGGTCTTACTGGTCTTTTATATTTCCCAAGCTGTTAATAGTGAGGATACAGAAACTTGTCTATATTTCATTCAATAAAGGTAGAGAAAATGTATTGAGTGATTGTGCTTTTATTCATCCCTGGTTCTTTATCACATAATATGCCAATGAATTACCACTGGTGCAAAGACAGAAGAAGTCTGACCAATCCCTACCAAACCCAATACAGCATTTCTAAGCAGCATACAAAACATTGAATTTATGCGTTATTTTATTTATTATTAGGCAGATATGAGTAACTGTATTTGCCAATGATAACCTCTTTGAGCCATACGACTATGAACAGACCCTATTATAAATCACGTGTAATGATTTATAAAGCACATCCTCATTGCAGCAGGGATATTTGTTAGATTAGACACTTGAATGTCCGTTTTACTTCTCATTAGTGTACTATCGAACAAATTGTTTGAATACTAATTTACTATAAATGGATGGACAAAAAGAATAGTGATTATCTCTTGAAGCGGATGAGTTGGGGTAAAGATGAGGACAATGATGAAGACCCACAATGATTAAAAAAAAGACATGTTTTTATTGTTCATTCTTCATTCAAGAAAACAAAACATGACAATTGTTTATACAGAAAATACCTCACATCCCTGAGAACACAGACTGATCACAGTACATGTCAGTTGGCCATCGGGGAGCACGGATATGGGTTTGAAATAATAGTTTGGACAGAAACCACAATGTCAAACTCGTCATCTTCCTGAGACACGGAGATGTTTAACACACAAACCATTACATTACAAGACTGGTGTGGCAGGAGAACAGAAGGGTTTAAACCTTTCAAAAAGCTGTGCATATGTATGTGTTTCAATTCAACTCTGATAAATTAATGTCAGTAGTACAGCGTTCAGTTGCCTCAACAAAACAAGCTTGAATAAAAGAAACAAACAAGAATCCTTTTTATTGGTCAACACTAAACACTTAAGAATAAATTCACAGACATTTGAGGGTTTCTTTTATGGTAAGGACTAATGAAACATGGCAAATATGGTCATATATTTGGCCAACAAATCACAAAAACATTTGTGAAGACATTACTTCAAATTGGACAGCCTCACTAAACCTGAGTAGACCAATAAGACAAACAGCTCCACCTAGCTGACCGCCGGGCTATCACAGCAGCTCCTGCTATTCAATACCTAATATAGTTGGATTTTTTATTGAAAATAACTAATTGAAAATGGGCTTCATCCCCCACTGTCACAAGCTGAATCCAATTGGCATAAAAGAAAAAAACTGAATATGAAACATACTAGGGATGGGCATATTTCTACATTTAAAATACCTTCTACATGTATGATTGAGCTTCTCCATGGCACAATAAATAACTTTATATTATAAGTCTTCTGAATTGTTAATTTGGTCTCTAGGATAAGTAGCTCTCGTGACAGCTCTCTGGCAGTAAGATTAGGAAGAGGAATGCCAGACTAAGAAATGTTTTTTGGTTTTTGTAGCCTTAAGTGTTGCTTCGTTTTTTGCAGCAAAAAAGTAATTGCAATAACAATACAATGTAGAATTTATTTTTCATTTAAAGAAACAATAACAATAAAGGTTTTAACAAGTCTCCCTAAAATATTGTTCATCTTGATATGCAAAAAAACATAATCTCAGTATAAAGGGGTCTTTTGAATTATGTTCCTGAAAAACCTGAATTTCGCTTTTTGACTATGACATGTTTCATCGTGACAAATCACATTACTGGACATGTTTGTACAGATTTTATTATTTTCGAGTAATCAGTAGTTCCTGTTTGTTTATTATCCACAACAACAGATGGAGCACATAAACTCATCACAGTTCATCATGTTAATTTAAAAAAAAAAAATGTAATTAACACTTTTCTTCTGATTTCTTAAATTATAAAAATGTCAGACGGTAAGATTAAAACATTTCTCTTAGTACACAATGGTCAAGAAGCTTACCATTTGGCACAAATTTGGCAAGGGGGCGAGGCTTAAAACACAAAATAACATTTTTTATTCTAATGGATCTCTTTAAGAAGTTAAAACATACATGTATCATGCCCATCCTTAATACATACATTTTTGCTAAATGAAATGTAATCTGTAGTCTATGTAAAACTATATGTCTACTAATAGAAACCTTTGCAATATAAAGTAATCTTTGTAAATATAGCATTGTATAAAAGCATGTCAAACCAAAATGTAAGGACTTTAAGATTGAGGCAAATTATACGAAGACAAGATGTCAAATCTTTTAAAGGACAGCTTCCCATTAAGGTGTGTACATTTAGAAAAAGAATCAAAGTGGCTCAGCTGTAAACACAAGGAATGCTCTTACTTGTCGTTATCAATTTTCTGTGGCCAAACCCAAATTATGAAAAGCAATTGTGCTTTAATAAGATGTAAGGACATGGGAAACATAATCACACTTAGCACAGTGAACAAAACACAGATTAAAACAACTAAATGTTTGCAGAGAAGGATGCATACAATGGTCATAAATAAACATTTCACGTTATCAGTTTTTCTGGGCCATAAAGCCAACCAAAACATGAATGGAAGACACATTTTCTTTCCTGCATATCGGGCTTCTACTAAAAAAAAAGAGCACGGATTGTCTCAGGTCTGAATATGTTTTGTGCTTTAAGATAGACTTATAATTTATACCTGATCTGCAGAATAAGCCTCAAATGTATGACCATGAAGAAACAACTCTTCTGTGCAGCTCCAGAAGGTTCTTTAATTGCAACTCTTTCTCCTCAAAAAGCTAGCACAGAAAACCCCTCTCACAGCATGCCGTTTCCGGAACTGAGCTTCCTCTTCCTCTTGTACTCAACATCTGCGTGTGCAGCCTTACCACACCTTAAACTGTTAAGAACATTTCATTTGTAACAGCCTGACATATCAATGGATTATATCATTAACAATAAAATTATGAGAAGAAATAAAGTAACAATTAAAATCTCCCTCATTTGTGTTCAACTTAGCCTCGAGTCAAATGTTAATATTTACTTTTTACTCTAGAGAGGTCTGACTTCCAGAGCGCTAAAGGCAATGCACTTTTAGTCATATTTAGGGTAAAAAAACTCCAAAAATACTGTACCAAAACGAAAAGAAAAGAAAGGAAAAAGACAGTTTTAGTAGATTGAGAACCTCAAACATACATACCCTGACTAGCTTCACCTTTAGCTTACCTATTAACCATAATTTAGAAAGCAAACACACATGTTAAAAGGGACCAACACATAGCTTTGGCACTACTCTACGAGGATTTCCTCAGTCTTTATGGGTTCCAGTGGGGTGCCAGAGTTGGACAAATCCGAGCCTTCATCTTTGGAGAGCTCTTCGCGCTGCAGCAGCATCCCTGCGTCGGCGGCCCCCTGCAGCCCCACTAACCCCCCTTGAGTAAAGCACAAGTGTTTGATCACCTCGTTGGGACTGGAGAAGGTGGTCGCACAAATGTTACACTTGTAAGGCTTCGACGAGCCCATGAACATGGCCTCCATCTGGCTGCTGTCGTCGCCGGCAGCGCACAGCTCCATGCTCTGCCGGTCCACCATGGTGTAGGAGTCCACCCCCTGGTTCAGGCACACGTGGCGGGCCGCCTGGTTGGCCCGGCAGAAGCTCTTGCCACATGCGCTGCATTTAAAGGGCTTCCCCGTGTGGATGTACATGTGTTCGCGCCAGTGGCTCTTTTGAATAAACTTACGCCCGCAGGTGGAGCATTCGTACTTCCGCCGCTTCACTTCCCTGTCCAGGTCGGCGCTCTCCAGGTTGTCGATGTCTGCAATGTCTGACGGAGGCGGTGTGTCAGCCTGAGAGTTCATTCCCCCCACCCCCCAGCTGGAGGTGGACACCTCGGCCCGGGGAGAGTCTGAGTTGGTCCCTGAAACAGGCGTTTGCTCGCTGTCGCTGATCACCTCTACTGCTGTAGTGGCAGCCGATGCATTGAACCCCGACTTGCATCCCTTCAGGATCCCCTCTAACTCGAGCATGCTATTATTTCGGCTCATGGTGGGCGAGAGAGCGTTGCTGGGCTCGCACGGTGCCTGATGTGGAGTCTGGGTGTGTTGGAAGAGATGTTCTCTCAGCAGGCTCCTCTGGTTGAATCGACTCCGGCACAGATGACAGGAGTAATGCTTCCTGAAGGAGGAATTCCTCTTCATGATGCTGGGCTTTACATTGAGGATGGCACTGGCTGAGGAACCATCTGCACTTAGCAAGTCCATTCCCCCCTCCTGCAATGCAGGCTTGGTGCCACTGGTCGAGGCCTCCATGTCCTGGGATGAGGAATTAAGCTTGGACAGTAAGGAGTTTGCGAATGAAGTTGTGGCGGCTGGAATGGACGGAAACTTCCCCTCCGAGCTGAGCTGCTCCATGTCGAAGGGAGAAGAGAGCTGCCGTCGAGTGGGCATTCGAGCCGACAGCCCAACCTGCTGGTCTGATATCTGGATGCCGTAGAGGGAGGTGGACAGGTTGACGTTGTGCTGCTCAGAGTGTGAATACACAGACTGGCTGGCCTCCTGCAGTAGTGGGTAGGCATGCAGGAATCTGACCCCCTGCTCCAGGCGTGCAGGGTCTATCAGCTGGGGGGCTAGCTTGCCTGTGTACATCAGGTTGAGGAGGTAGCTGAAGATATCTGGCTGTATGTCCGCGGCCTTCAAGCGCACACAGTCACTGAAAGACAAAAAAAGTTACATTAAGCTAGTGACTAACGACAAGTGAGATCGTGGTAGTGATAGATATTAGAATCCATTATAAGAGGAGTGACTGATTATTTATTTTGATGAGATCAAATCTGCTGAAGTTACTGGTCAAAGTTTGTGAAAACTGGCATGTAAGTATGTCTGTTGTGCTCAGTTCATCAGTGATACTAGGGCAGCAGATACCATGTTTTGATCTTGATGCCCTTACAGACCCACCAATTTGTCCCCTCAATCTTTTCCAATGATCAAACAATGACATTATTGATGGGTCATCACACTCAACAGATTTAGATACAGTCCAGTGCTCAACTACAGAGAAAAAAAGTCTTTCAATGTTTGACCACATGAGGGGGCGTTATTTTGACCACGTATCTGAGTGTTTTGGCAGCAGAATTTGGAATGGGACAAAAAGTATAGTTTTAGTCATACAGTCTATGGTTTTAATACACTCCTGCTGTACCTGTCCTGATGAATGAAGAGCATTCTGAAGTAGTTTGAGAATGCAGCGAGGACAGCTTTGTGGGCCTTGAAGAAGACATCTCCGATAGCCACAGTGCAGTCGCACAGGAAGCCAAACTCCCTCTGAGCGTTAAGCTGCTGCAGCAGGATAAGACCATGGTTGGCCAACTCCATTCTTCAACCTGCACAAAAGGCACACAGAGACACACACAAGCAGCAATGAGTTTCCTGTCTGGAAGGAGCCCAGAGTTTATTGTGACCACAGAGTGTCAGGCTGACGGGGGTGATCTAACGACCTTGTAAAGGCCATCTCAAAACAACAGTGAAGAATCACTTTGTGACACTGGAGACCATTTGCCTAGCACTAATGTCAGAGAAAATAATGCTAATTAATTGCGTGGCTCAGCAAAACAAAAAAGGTCTTATTTGTTAATTGCATGTACAAGTGGGTCAGCACAATGGTAAATCAATGATAACCACAGTGTTTCTCGTAGAAAAAAGTAAGTAAACCAGCTGTGTACATCAGCAGAAAGGGTTCCATATTGACAATTTCAAGAATTCTCCCATAATTGGTCAATGTCTTTGGATGGTGGTATGGTCAGGACTAAGCATGAATGCTGATAACAAAATATTGTCCAATTTCTTTCTGTTATAGGTACCAGTGAAAAAAGGGTAAACCTTTTCTGTATGACCCCTTAATGTTCATCATTAAACCCACTTTCTAGCACCCACTTATCATTTAGAGACAACAAGTAGCTTTATTGTTACTAGAGCTCTCATCTCTGGTCAGAAATTGGAGGAAACACCCTTGGTTCAGATGGAGCCTCAACCGTCCCCAGACTTATCCTCAAGGGACATTTCAGAGCTATACATGTTCTGCTGACCAATGGGGTGGTAGTTGCTGACCCTAAAGGTCACTAGAGGACTACAAGGGCTTCAGGGCATCACATGATCAGGGTTATGGCTGTTGACACACATTCCTCAAGCCGAACTGGTTCTACCCCCCTCCCAGAGGAGAATGAAAACAGCCTGTGGGCAGGGCGATTCTCCTTCTCCAACACTTTCTCCACACCACCCAGCCTAAGGTATGAAGCTACGAAGACGCAAGATGATGGGTACAAAATCATCAGCCAATTGGCCTCAGATAAACTCTGCTTTTTCCCGGTTTGTTACAAAATTACTAGAAAAAGCCCCCTGCACATGTGTATTTCAGCAGAGAGGTCAGAGTGCAAAGATGTTGGCACTGCAGCGCTCCAGGAAAAGGCTCGGTTTCCGTATCTTTTGCAAGGGGATACAGCAACAGCATTCACCCAAGACGTAAAATACCCCTCAACCGAACTCGCCACACTTACAGATAACTTCAATATAAATACTGTTGTCTGTTTATTAGGTTGCCCTAGTTACAAATAAAGCTAATCAAAAAATCCTGCAATGATTTCTATGTTCTACTTACTGAGGGCGGTTTCTAATAATTTATTGACTTAATTTATCAGTGAGCCAACTAATGGAGGCTGACTTTTAATATATTTAATATATTTCACTGTTGAGTAAACATCTTACCGAAAACACTATAGTAGAATGTGTTTTTTACCATTTAAAAAAAGGTAATAAGCAGATCTAATTGATGGCATTCATTATAATGCAATTTGTTGTCAATAGGACTTGATATAACATTGTTTTGTTACGTATTCTTCTATCTCTGTCTTTGCATGCACCACAAAGCATATTCGTTGTATGTGTAAACCTACTTGGTAATAAAATGTATTCTGATTCTAATTCTGACCTGCACCTCAATACAATGCTGCCATTATTCCCATTAACTTAAAAAAAGATACATGCGTTTCCCCCATTAAATATATTTCTATAACAATCTCTGGTTTACATGAATTTCGTGTTAAAGCCACTTCGAAGCATCTATCTCTTCCCTGCATAGTTTGGATTATTTCCAAATGGTTTAGGATTGCATAAAACATGGGCTAGTGTATTTTAGGGTAGCTAAGGACTTTTATAGTAGTTTTATGTTTGATGATTGTCCCAGAAAGGCTTTTAGTTAGTTTAGTAGTGGTAGTAAAATTCGAGAAAACATGACTATGGTTTGCTTCAGCCTAAACCCTGCAACATTGTTGCTTTGCCTACAGATTTTTAAAAACGTATACAAATGGAGTATACATATATGTTTGATTGACATATACATTGATTAACAGTACAACTACTGATCTATTGATGATGTGAATTAAACTTGTATTCATACAATCCAGTTAGTTAGCCACAGCAACATGGGTTAATCAATACTAACTTGTTTGCAACAATAAAGCACCGCCCATGATGTGATGTAGACACGTGGAACAGTTACTTCCGTAGTGAAATTTGCTGTTATCCTGAAAATACACTGTTAAAATTGCCCGCGAGGAGAGCACGTCAGGAAGGTAAACACGCAACCGGAATAAAGCCGTTCAATAATGCGAACCATAAATAGCAGCTAAAGTACATAAAGCATTGAAACATACGAAACCAGCGCGCATAGACTCACTGCCTTGGGTCTATCTCGGTTGCTATTGCTAGCGCGAGAAAACGGACATGCACGCAACACACACACATGGGGGGGAAAGGGAGAGACGCAGGGGGATGGGGTTGGTCACGAATGCGTTTCTTTTAACTTCCCGTAACAAATACAGTTAACCGAAGCGCACACACGTAGCCAAATAAAGAAAAAATTGCAGTAAACGAAAGGGTGAGTGTGTAGCTACAAACAGTCGTACCTGCACTCTGCGTAAATCCGTGGAGTTTGCCGTGTCGCCGTTGTTTGTTTGTTACCGGGTCCGTCCTCTCTGGGCTCGCAGCGGCTTCTACTGTTCCTTGCAAACGCAGCATTCGTTGGCGGCGGAGAGGGTCGTCCGTCGCTGTTTTCCGGTTAGGGGTTTTACGTTACAATCACATGACTGGGTAAAAAACTGCCAAAAAAAACCCGTTGTAAAATCCGTTGAGTAAGGGGGCGGTTGAGTTAACGTTAATTTCCTGCTCTGTCTAACCGCCGTGGATCAACCCCCGCGAGCTTTTTGACAGCCGGTGAGTTTGAACATTAACAGAGTTACGCTGACTCACCGTATGGTAGTCTGCCTCTGCTGTTAACCGCACGATACACATTCAACCGAAGTGTGTGTATTGACCCTCACCCTCTGTCACTGAAATAACGCAATACAAATATTTTGCCCATAGTTGCTTCACATTTGCATCAGTTTTTTTTGGCAAAACCGACACCACGTTTACAAGATAACAAGAAAAATATTGGCATACAATATAACATGTATTTTGTATTTTATCATGCCAGTATCAAAGCATGGATGCAGTCTTGGTTACAAACATATATTCTCACAGTTTACCAAAATCCATTGACTTTTGCCACTTTTGACCTTACATAACTAATGAGTAATAATAACACACATTTTGATTATGAATATTACAAGGTTATTAAAAAAAAGAAAAAAATAGATGGTCCTTAACCAAAATGTCATTTAAATGACAAGCTTTATCAAAAAAAATGTGGCTCTGAACACATATTCCTCTTTTATGTATTTTTTATAATTATATTATTTTAGGTTTTTACCTCAAAGGCTAGTATAGGTGCAAAAACATTATTAACTGTATGATACAAGATATTAAATATAGGTTCCACCCTTGTTTGACCGTTCATACCAGACTGAAATTACTGGTTTAGTTAACTATAGTGTGTTGATTGTTTGGTCAGACCTTAACTGTAGTTCTTTAAAGAGGACCTATCATGCAAAATGCACTTTGTGATGTATTTAATACATAAATATGTGTGCGTTGGGGAACTCACGCAGCGTCAGAAAATAAAACCCTCTCTCTTTTCCTCCGTACCCAAATCTTTTAAAAACAGGGATACAAGGAGCGGATGCAGATTTGCTGCCGGTCTGACGTCAAATCGGCAGCGGACCCACAGAAAATTGCTATCAGAAACAAAGCCTGACATGTTTTGGACGTAATCTCGTCTTTGTTTACATTAGCAAGCCTCGCTCACACTCAGAGCTAACCTGTACTGTAAAAAAAGGAACTCACCTTGTGATAAACCCGCAAAAGAAAAAGCATTTGAGCTCCATACTGTTTCAGAAATAATATTCGATGTGGTTTAGAGCAGGATGGCGTTTTATCACAGCAGAATTTAACTTTATCTCCGTTAGAATTCTGAGCAGGCATTAGCTCCGCCGCCTCCTCTTTTTTTTTTTTTTTAAAGCTAAGGACCCAAAATCCGCGGTGAGCCGTTTAGTGGAGAAAGTGAATACTGCTGAATACACATACTTTACAGAGATGCTGTATGCCAAACCAATGTGATTGGAAAATTGCACAGTATTTTTCTATTTTAGTATACTTCAACAATGGAATTATGATCAGTGGAAATGGCCATGACATGTGACCTTTAACACTGTCTTTGCATGGGCTGATTCTGTGAGAACAGCACCATCTACAGGCTTGGCATATGTACTACAGCGTCTCCAGCGCTTTCGAATGGCAATGTCTGTGGCTGTCTCCTCCTGATTGGTGGAGTTGGACCAATAGCCGTAGGGCCACTTCTGTGACGTCATAGAAGTGTTCAAATCTGGATCAGTCTGTATCAGATCCGTTGCAGCCCCTTTTTAAGAGATTTGGGTATGGAGGAAAATAGAGAGGGTTGTGTTTTCTGACACTTGGTGAGTTCCCTGGAACACCGGGGACACATATTCATGTATAAAAGACGTACAAAAGTGCATTTTTTCATGATAGGTCACCTTTAAGCAAAAAACTTCACAGACATGTTTTGTATAGTATGGCCATACAATATATTTTTCCAATAGCATAATAGTTCCACTTTAAGGATACAATTAATACCAAGCACCCCTAATCTGATGGCAAATTCTACATAGGAAAAAAGTACTATTGTTTTTTTGTTTCTCTGTTATGAACAGCATAACATGTGAGTTTACTTGATGAAACCTATGCATACTAACTTTTGCTCTGTAACCCTAGTTGTAAACTGTTTCATAAACCTACTTAAACTAAGATTACCTTAAAATCACACACATAGCAACCAGTTGTTTTTTGTGTGTTAAAATAGTTACTACCCCTGTTTCTTGTAGCCCCTACACTAGGGTATTTGCAGCTGTTATTTTATGCTCCCAAAAAAAGAGTTAATTCCAAAAAAGCCTGGGAATGAATCAAGTCAATTAATTTTTTTATAGAAATAAGTCCTAGAAGAGGGAAGCAGTGGAGGTCTGGAAATAGAGTTCAACTAAACCACACATTGCATAGCACAGGAAGTGTGGGAGGACCTTCGCACTAACGCACTTTGGAGTCACATCAATATTTTGTCATCAGATGTTGCCCTAGTGTAAACACCAATTTTTTTCAAGACCTCTCATTACAGAGTTGCCTTAGGACAGGGAGTCCACATGAGTACCAGACCAGGCAAGTTGTAACTCTGAAAACGCCTGCACAGCTGAAAGAGAATGGGTGGAGAGTTTGTTAAAACAGAGGGGGGACGGGAGACTTGGGGCGGTTAAGAAATGTCTATGAAGCCTGAGGACCAAACAACAAACAACAGACTTAGATCTGATCTTGTCCACAACTTTACTGAAACTAGTTAGCAAATACAAATATTGGCCTGCAGGGGTAACAAATGTTTTACTAAAAAAACATTAATTGAGACCATTGGCAGAGCAGCAGTTGATGGTAATGAAGGCAGAACAAAAGCATGTTTACTTTGTTGAAGTTTCCACAGCAGGGGTTGATTGAAAGAAGCAGATCAACTGTTACCACACTGGCTTATTGTTTTTAAATCATTAAGATCAATACAATCTAATCAATCGTTTTTAATGATAATACTGTACCATTAGGAAAAGTGATGTGGGCCTACTCCTGCGTGCGTCTTTTCTTATGGCTTTTTCTATGCCCTCAAAGCTCATTCCGAAGATACTGGACTTTCACATGACTGCCATTCCACTGATTTCCACTAATAGATTTTTCCTGCAATGATGCATTTTTTTAAAATACCACACAATCTGCATGAAATCGCTTTAAACATAAAAAGTGAAACAAGATTTTCCGTCCGATTAGACCAATGCTGACACCAGGGCATTTACCCACAACACATCTAGTCGCTCAACTGAAATACTCCACAAGCCTACTTTTGCATGAGACGCCTGTGTGGTGAGCTGAAACACCTGTTTAAACATGGCTTTTAACGTTAGCTGCCGCCCTCCCCCTCCCGTTCATGGCCTGTTTTGAAACCGGAGTGGTGAGTCACTCCTCTCTTTCGGTTTAGAAAAACAGATCCGGCCAGGCTGGGGCCCGGTGGGGGGATGGGAGGCCGGCGGTGGATGAACACCGGAGGTGGACGCAGCTGGACTCCCACTCCCAAGGACCCCACATCCTGACAACGGCCCGCCGTGTTCCCATAGTGACCGGGGCTGATCTGAGAGAGGGAAAATTCCACCAACACCACCAGAATGAATTGATATGCATACTTTCCCCGCCTAGTTATCATGGGTGCAGCCAATCAATTGGTCATGTTTCTCAAAAGGGAGAACCAAGAATAGAGAACCTTACCATTTCCCAACTTTAAGATTGACTATAAATCAGTTTGTGAGTAGGTTACTTTGTTGCCCATGATCATGTTTTGTCAAAGGGAGGCCACGATGTGGGATCCCACGACAAAAAGCATTCTCGATTTATATTTATTAGGATACCCCATTATTTGATGCAGCTCAACTAGGCTACTCTCACTGTAGTTCACAAATAGGCCAAAAGAACAAAAATAAGACTATCAAGGTTGTACACACATTTGTGATAAATTACTAAGCTGAGTGATTACATTTACAACAGAACATATAGGCTACCTTTATGTATTTTTTTAATACAATATAAGGTTACTATAGATCACCCAGACAAACATAGGTTATTTTAAAACTCTTAACTTGCTTTAATGTAGGCTACTGTGCGAAAAACTGTGCAATTATTCACGTTTACTATCCTCAATAGCCTGTTAGTCAGGGTCTCCAGCAATGACTCAATAGAATAGCCTAATGCTTTCTCCCACCAATATCATACTCTACGACCCCTGCTTCTTTTCCCGCCAAAAACGCCTAGGGGGCTGTCCTCTTGTTGAGTGGACGGATGTCTCCATGACTACCGTTGCTCTGGACAACAAGGGATGCTCGGGGTGAACGGTGCCGTTTGAACAACAGAAAGCCATGCGCAATGCGGCAGCACTTTCCAATCTTTGATATAAAAATAAAGTCTTTGATTGTACCCATCAACAAGAGAAAACAAGAATTTAGATTCTAAAACTGTAGCTGATATGTGGCACGGTTAATAAATGAAAATAAATTAGACCAGGCACAATGTAGCAAAAAATAAATAAATTCGCAGTTCTACATGCATGGGGATGGGAGGGACGTGAACGTCACACGACTTGCAATTTACACATTAACCGCTAGATGGTAGCATCGTATCCTAAATAAAACCCAAATCTACAAGCAAACCAGGAAATAATGATTTAAATGTACAATGTTTGGTACTAGAAACAGAGGACGTCAAGCCTGATACAAACTGTTTAGCCTCGTAACGTCCTCTAAAAAAGATTAACGTTTGGCTGCTTGTAGCGTTTAAGTCTGCGCAGACCACTACACTTTGTGTCTGTCCTGGACATTTGTATCGATAAAGTTTGAATTTGAACCGCATACCACTGCTAACATGATGGCGGCTGATCAAACTGTTCACGGAGTTCCTCCTTCCCTGTCTGCTAAAGTGGTTGGGTATGTTGACAGTTTTTCTTTCCCACAATGTTAGATGAATTTGCTAACTACACTGATCAATGAGAATGGCTACATCACTGTAGGAGTGTCGTGTTTTTGAACCAGCAATAGCATTAGCTTTTTGCTAACACATTAATTAAGCTGGTAAGAACTGATTTATCACAGGTGACAAAATGACGTTGACTCAGTCAGCTTTAATACATATGTTTACAGCTTCATTGTACCAACAAGTATCATTATTGCAGTCGAAATGTCTACAAAGTAAGGGCTAATGTTACCTTGACATCTTGCTAGGTAAATTAGCTTGCTAGCTTGCTAGTACACACACCTGCTGCATTATCATGAACTGCCAGTTTCACATTAATTAATGGCCATCGTTTCTTTGCAGGTCATTTGCCTATTTGACTGTGAGAGACAGATTGCCAACCATCCTGACTAAAGTTATTGACACAATACATCGCAACAAAAATAAGTTTTTCGAAGAATATGGAGAGGTAAGAATTGTCATTGATCAATTAAATTCGAGTTATTTTCTTTAACTTAATCTTTAACTATAAGGCTCTGCGTGTGTTTACTGTGTTTACAGGAGGGTATCCAGGCAGAGAAGCAAACAATAGGTCTGCTGTCTAAGATGAGGAATGAGCTGCAAACTGATAAGCCAGTAATACCACTGACCGACAGCTTGCAAGACGCGGAGTGTTGGAACCAGTATCTGCAGAAACATCAGGAACTGCACGGAGACCAGGAGTCTGTCAGCTGGTTCAAGTCCCCATGGCTGTATGTGGAGTGCTACATGTACCGCAGGATACACGAGGCCCTCTGGCTGAAGTGAGTTGCATTTGTGTCTTTAAATGGGAACTATTGCTGCTTTTTCTCCTGCTATTAAGTGCACATATATTTTGGGCTATGCATTACATCACTTACATTAATTTCTAATTAGTCTTTTTATCTGATGTTATTTAAATTTGAAGGCAAACAATGGAAATGTAAGATGTCAATTTATTTTAATCTCAGTTCAATAGAAAAACACATTGAGAATATTACACCATTATAAATAACAATGGTTGCTCAATGATTAAAACAAAAACGTTTGCATTTAAATATTGCAGCCTTTGGGGAAGTAAATACATATTTTCCTTGTTTCTTTATGTTGTGTTCTTTTGCTCTTCATGTTGTTATTTGTGCTTTTATTTCAGTCCTCCCATCAGTGACTATGACGTCTTCAATGAAGGAAAGACTCAGAGCTTTTTTGAGTCTCAGCAGGCAGTGATGACCATATGTACACACTTGGAGGGCGTCAACAGCAACATTGAGAATCTCTCCAAGAATCAGCTGTTTGAGCATTTCGACAAACTGCTACAGGTAATACCTTCTGAACCAGCTCCTTAAAATGTTAAAGCTGCAACTTGAATTGTTGCAACTTGAGTATCAATTATCTCATGGACCTCTTCTCGGTCCATAAACATGAACTGTCCATTCAATTAATTTTCTCTATCATTTACCCTATTCAGGATTATATTGAAATACATTACAATAGTTTCAGGTGTAAAACATTTGATTCGACTCTTTTCTAGGTTTCCTTATGGGGGAACAAGTGTGATCTCTCTATCTCTGCTGGCCAAGACAACTCCCAGAAGACCAGTCCAATAGATTCCCTCGTCAGCCTACAACCCTTGATCTTGGTGAATGACTCCAACAGGGTATGGTCAACTCTTATTTCTGCCCAGACGCACGCACGGTCAGAGAAAACCACAGTCAGAGTGGACATTGTTCTAGACAACGCTGGCTTCGAGCTAGTCACTGACTTGGTCTTAGCCGATTTCCTAGTTTCCTCTGGCCTTGCCCATGAGGTCCATTTCCACGGCAAATCCATTCCTTGGTTCGTCTCTGATGTCACAGCTCACGATTTTCAGTGGACCATCCAGCAGACCATGGCGGCCAATCACAAGTGCATGTCAAAGATTGGATACCAGTGGAAGAGCCACCTGAAGGACGGCGTGTGGTCCTATCACGATCATCCCTTCTGGACACAGCCCCATGAGTTCTGTGACATGGCCGCTGATGCACCCGACCTGTATGCTAACCTGCAGGGGGCAGACCTGGTGTTGTTTAAAGGGGATCTCAACTACAGGAAGCTGGTGGGGGACAGAGACTGGGATCACACAGTGGGCTTTGGTACTGCATTACAAGGTTTTGGGCCTGCACCGCTGTGTAGCCTGAGGACTCTCAAGGCCAACGTACAGGTCGGTCTGCAGCCTGGCCAAGCGGAGAAGCTCACCTCCCTTGAACCAGACTGGATGACCTGCGGCAAATACGCTGTCATTCAGTTCTACAGCTCAAAGGCGGAACAGAAAGACTGAGCTCAGGATCTCCCTGCGCACACGTGGATTCATAAGAACATTACAGTAAGAAGTACCTTAAGGAGTTACCTTCAAGCCATAAGACCATTGAGAAATTGAGGTTGTAAAAGGGTGTTTTGTTTTTCTTTTCGAAAGCTAATACTTCATCGTGTTAGATGCGCACATGCACAGTAACAGAAATCTCCTGAGTTTTTATTTTCATAACATATTTGTACCATGTCATACTTGCAATGTTAGCACTTAAGTCATGATGTTTACAGGTTAATGTAGATGCTATTAACAATTAATTATAACATTTTAAATTGATTGATAATACATCTCCTTTCAGTGATGATTAAAGTCATATTTAGTTTGATTTGAATTCAGCTAGGTTGTTTATCTGTTGCACTCTCGTTGATTTGCATGCATAAAAACATGCAGCCATTTTATATTCACCTAAACCAGGTTCTCACATAACTTTATGACTCATTTAATTATAAAGATGTTAGTGTTATTTGGGCAGAATAACAATAACAGTAAGCATGTGTACTTGTTTAGTTTAAAATGGCAACCAAGATTTCTGTATAAAATTGATGTCTCTGTGCACACTGTTATGTCATCAAATGATCTTTGTCGGGGTGTAAGTACCTCAGAGGTCATGTTACCTGGATTCTTCTCAATACTGCTGGGGTAAATGATCAGTTTCTCTAATGGATTTGATTTAATAAAGGTAATTGACTGACTGATATTTTTTCCAATGTCATACTTTACAGGCTGAGGGACATAAAATGTGGGAAATAATGATGACTATCAGAATAAACCATCAGATGGCTTTTTGTTAACTAGTTTGTGACTGAAGATGGTTTGTTCATTTCAGCATAGTGCAAAAACAGTTTTTTTTATTTACATCCATACGCAACCAATTATTTTGGAGAAAATCACCTTATGTTGGGGACTAATAGGCGCGTTCACACCGCAGTACTTTTCCCACTTTAGTTCCGATATAGTTCCGAAATGTCGCGTTCACACCAAAAAGAGCCGGAACTAAAATGAGTTCATGAGAACCTTTTTAAGTTGTTTGCGGCCTGCAAATAAACCCAAACCAGAAGAAGAAGAGGTGACGTCAGCGGCTTCATTTGCCTAATCCAGGGGTTGGCAACCCGCGGCCCACGGGCCGCATGCGGCCCTTTAAACCCTCTGCTCTGGCTCCCTTGAGTT